AATCAGTGTAAACTGTATAATGATAAATAATAGTAATGTTAATCACGGTAATCTGCCTAATTATAAATAGGAAAAATTGAAAATAATAATCCCAACTATTGCCGGTCCGCCGATAATAATCCCAACTATTGATTATTTTGTATATTTACAACTATATGGACCGTCCGCCAATAATGGTCCATGATCAGATATTACCTCCTATAACAAGTGAATTTTAAATAGAAATTAAGCATAAAAATTAAATGTTGGGATTATTTATAGGGATTACTTGTTATATCTCTTCTCCCTCCGTCCCAGAAAATTCTTCCAACTTTCCTTTTTGGGACGTCCCAGAAAATTCTTACAACTTCACCTTTTTGATTATTTGTGTGGCTCACATTCATTTCACCTTTTTCTTACACAACTACAACCATACATTTCTACTTTATTCCACTACTTAAATATGCGATCCAACTCAAAGTTGGAAGAATTTTCTGGGACGGAGGGAATACATGAATTTATTTACAGGGACCATTATTGGCGGAAGGCCCTAAAGTTGGGATTATTATTAAATAATCAATAGTTGAGATTATTATGAGCGGATCGTCAATAGTTGGGATTATTACTATCAATTTTTTCTTATAAATATGGTATGGATCCTATGCAAGTATGGGAGAGTAGAAACTTGTTAGACAAAAAAGGATATACTATTACAAAAATAAAAACAATATACAAAAAAATGACTTTTAATGGCCCTAGTACTCCCTCTGTCCCTAAATTATGGCTCATTTGACTTAACACACAATTTATAAAGTGAAAATTGTGTCATTGAGCCATTGAGGTTTTGGTTAAAAGAAAGAGAAAAACTATGAATCACATATTGCTTTCCTTTAAAGGAAATGGGCAATAATTTTGAGACAAAAGAAAAACACAAGTATGTAGGTAATGTGGGAGTAGTATTTTGATATTTTCACAGTAACTGTAGTGATATTATAGTCACATACTCATATTTTTGTTTGAGTTCTATTTTAGTAATATTATAGGACAAACCCCTTTAATTAAATAATTCTGTTTTATTTACAGTATGAACAGAGTACTTCATCAAAGGTAAGCCGTTTGGGGCGGAATATCGCCACACATAGTACTACTGATCTTGTTCCAACGACGCCAAACAAGCTCTCCGAGGAAATGATAAAGTGCATGTGCACTATATACTGCAGACTTTCTGATCCGGCACTTACAACAAGTAGGCTGGGAGCTTCATCTCCACCTACCTCAGCATTCTCATCACCAAATCCATATTCTGAAAGTGACACGTGGAGCCCGAGACTTCGAAATTACTCGTCCTTTGATTTGCGTTTGGACAATCCTTTCCATGTTCAAGGACTGAAGGATTTCAGTGGACCTTACAGCACAATGGTTGAAATACAATGTATACATAGAGATAGTCGTAGACTTTGCAAGATTGAACCATTGTTACAATATTACAGGTAATAAACATCATTTGACTTCTAACTTGTTTGTTTGGTCACTTATGTTGTAGTGCTTAATGAGTTTTTGTGTTGCAGGTCACTTATTTGTCAATTAGACGAAAGCGATCCTAGTTTGTTGACTCATGAGGAGAAACTAGCTTTCTGGATTAACATCCATAACGCATTAGTAATGCATGTAACTTTTCTCATCCAAACTTTGCATCTTATACCTTATACTTTCATATTGTGTAGCCATCTTACACCGATATAAAATATAAAAATACAAACATGCAAAAAGTATCTAGGATTGACCTTTGAGGATAGAATGTCATATCCTAATATATATGTCCTGAAGTCTTCAATATGCCTAACGGTAATTATTTTTTCACTCCGAGTAGGCATTTTTGGCTTATGGAATCCCACAAAATAGCATGAAGAGAACTTTTATTTTGTTAAAGGTTGGCAAAATCTAAATTATCTTATCTTACAAACAGCAATTTCTAGTTTGGCAATGATGCTCTCTTATCCTTCTTAACTTCACTTGGGTTAATCCAGGCTGCGTATAATGTTGGGGGTCATATTGTAAGCGCAGATGCTATAGAGACGTCTATACTAAGATGCCGAATGCCTCGATCCGGACAGGTTAATTTTTATTTCTTTTCTCTCTCTCTCTAATAGAGTTTAGCCTCATTAGTGCTGATATAGGTTGGTTATTTGTATGTCTAGTGGATTCGCTTTCTTGTTTCTTCATGGGGAAAATTCAAAACTGGGGACGAGCGACAAGCATTTGTGATTGAACGTCCAGAACCTCTTCTGCATTTTGCACTCTGTTCTGGAAACCATTCAGATCCTGCGGTAGGTATCCTCTTGGTTTCTCTATAGTGGATGTTTTTTTACCTTAAGGCTTGTTTGGTTGGGGGATTTCGGGGAGAGGGGGGTTGGTTTTTGGTTTACTAATTTTTTCAGGGATGGATGTTTTTGATTGTACATAACAAATTAAACCGAACCATGAGCAATTCAGTTTTATTTTGACAATGTTTGTCTGAACCATATTTATTCAAACTGAACTGAAACTTCTTAAGACCAAACCGAATGAAAAGTTGAAAACACAATAAAAGCATACTAAATAATACGGAGTAATAAAAACCCCAATTTGGAACTGAAATCAAATCAAACTAAACTGAATAAAACCGAGCCAAATGAAAGCAATCCTTGTTTGATTTGAATTCAGTAATAATTTCCCCAACCCGTTTTGAACCAAAACGAACTTTAAATTGGAACATCATCCATTGCTTCGTAAAATCATGCATTTCTGTACATTTGTTCATCTGCTCATTTTTTGGAACCATTTAAATGCATGCATTAACTAATGGATAACTGAATAAGCTTCACTCTTACCATTCCGTTTCCTCAAAAGTCCCTCGACCAAACATGGGGCAAGGGGTGCTCTTACAAGCCAAAAAAAGCTTGGCAAGAAATTCAGTAGATCATTTTAGATATTTAATCATAGTTATATTGTTCTTATATTTCTATTGCACAAAGACAATCTAAATACGAACAATGAAAACTACAAGACTAAAATAAAAATTAATAAAAAAAATTATGACTTAACACCCACGGTTACACATGACCATGCCAATATATTTGTACTGACTATAATGATCATGTAATTATGTTTTTGTCCAGGAGTTCTATTATAGTAACATTAGAGGAAAAGTTTATCTGAATGTATGTAAAATTTTAATGTTTGTTAATCAAATACTCCGTATGATTTTTCTCATACTTTCCAAGGTAAGGGAAGTCATACAAATTGATAGTAATAATTTCCTTGGCATATATTTGTTTCGTTTCATATCATTTTCCGGGCTCCAACACAGCGTAAGGAGTTGGGTACGTTTTTTTATCTCTTATTTTAGGTTCGACTCTACACACCAAAAAAAGTGGTACAAGAGTTGGAAGCAGCAAAAGAGGAGTACACTAGAGCTACTTTTGGCGTGTCAAAGGATCACAAAATTGTGTTACCTAAGGTTGTAGAATCATTTGCGAAGGATTCGGGAATGTGTGCTGCCAATGTGGTGGAGATGGTCCATCAATCCTTGCCTGAATCTTTGAGGAGGAAGAGCAGCATTATTTTCAAGAAGAGGTTTCAGCGGGGAAAAGGTCGTAGGAACATCGAATGGGTTCCTCATGATTTCACCTTTCGCTATCTTATATATAAAGACCTGGTAAGGTGATTGCTCCACTTGTGCAGTTATAGCTGATTAACGGGCTGGTTCTGCCATTATCTTAACTGCCCAAATGAACATAAAATCTCCCAGTTAGCTCTTAACAAAGGATAGGTTGACATTAGTTATATATATATAAATATAATTTATTTTTCTTGTTTTGTATATAAAATAATATGATGGATTATTTATATGTTACTCAGTTGTTTATATTAATGTTATATTGTAGTTATGAAAGTATGTCCTACAAGGATATGTCTGCATGTAATTGTACGACTAAGAAATGGTTCATAAGTTAGTTACAGTAGTAATTTTTGTATACTAGTATATCATTCTCATTTCCCCCCTTTTGTGAAGTTAATTAATGAGGTACTCATGTCATGAAAGTGTAGAAAAACAAAGGCAAATAGGCCAACCAGAAAAGAATACAATCTTATCATAATGTAACGTATGAACTATTTGATACTAGTATTTAACAAAGGTGGAATGAGTATACTTGTTTTCTATTTTTTCTGTATATTGCATCTAATTATTATTTTTTCTGTATATTGCATTTTATGGGGACATTAGTGCTCTGTGTTATTGCACTATGGATCATAATCATTCCACAACAAACTTTTTCAATGCATTCAATTCATTGTCAATGCTCAATGGCCATATTTAATGCCCAAAAATCCTAAATTCAACCAACCAAAATCTCAAATAATTACAAATTAAAAGCTTCCATTCCTCAAACAATACTTACAAACCACTATCTAGCGGTGAGCCTTCCATCAGTTCCATTGCTCCCGATCTCACGAATCCATTCATGGCTCTAAATCGACAACTTTGCTCTCAGTTTGGAGACTCTGGACGTCTGTGGAGGTGGTGCGGAGGCTAGACTATGGACGGAGGTTTCGGATGAGCGACGGTCGTTGACGATGCCATGACACCCAGGATAAACGGACGTCTTCTCAAGTAGGCTACATAGCTTCTAGGGTGGGGATTTTGCTCCCAGTCCGTCAGATATGCGCGAACAACAGACAACGTCTTCGGCGACGGTATGGTTGTACGGCGAGCGTGTGGCGGTGTAGCTATACATGGCGACGGTATGGTTGTACGGCGAGCGTGTGGCGGTGTAGCTATACATCAGGCGGTGGCGCTGTACGTAGGGCGGCGGCATGGATGGGTATTGCTACATAGGGGACATCTCTACATCACTACATGTTTAGGGTTAAAAGCAATGCTGCGTATGATATTATTAGCTGTTATCATAATAGATTGAGAAAGTGATTACGTTTTAGTAATACCTAGGGTAATTATCTAAAAAACAAATTGATTATGAAAACCAAACAGTTCATATTATGACAATCAAGGGCAAGGACATGGAGTTGTTTTCAGTTTTTCACTCTTAATCGGACAATCAACAAACCATTAGTACAATCAAAATTTCACAAATTCCACTATTGGACCTTCAAATCCAACCCTTGTTTTTCTGGAAAACATCAGAGAAGCTTGGATCTTGACACAGTAATAAGAACAAGCAAACAGAGTGAGAGAAACATCATCAATAGGGCCTCTCTCCGACAACGTTTCCGGGAGGGTTGTAGAAACATATGGTTAAGGTAATCTGTCCCTTCCCACATGTCGCCTGAGCACAACCCAATTCCAGCGATTCCTTCCACACCACCTGAGTGTACACCCCACACTGGTGATCTGAAATGCAAGAATTGTTCCCGTAATCGTAGAACTTCTTCTCCTCCACCCACTGCTCCACCGCCATCCGCGGCGTCGCCGCAGCTCCGCCTGCCCACATCTGGTTGCCGCCGTACTTTCCGCCGCTCAGCTCGGCGAAGCTGCAGTTCTGTGCGTCTCTCTGGTGACGAACCTGGAGGCTGGTGGCATTGGCAAGCATCTGGCTCCATGCGAGTGGGCCCACACCGACTTCCGCCCTTGCTTGGTTGTGGGCGTCCAGGAAATCTTGGGCGGGTCGAGGTAGCGCCGCCGGGGCTGTGGATCCCGCCGGTGGTGGCGGAACTTGTTGCGTAGCACCGCTGCGTATGGTCAGAGCAATTATTATGAGAACTACCAGTAAAGAAATTATTTTGACCATTTTTTCTTCGATCTGTATGCAGACAGTGTGTTGTTCCGATACTACTATACTAGTAACAAAATACTTTACACAAAAAAAAAAAAAATACTTTAAACAATGATATGATCCCGAATTTAGCAAGAGGACAACTTCATTCAATACTTCAATTATTCATTTGATTTTTTGATCGGTCTATTACTCCGTAATAATTTTGGTAAGCCAAAGTATGACATATGAAATGAGATTATGAGATTGAGGTGGTACTTAACTATTACTTGACCATTGATTTTCCAATATGTCAAAGAAGAGCCGTATGGACGCTCAAAAGTTATTGTGTACTTGCTTAAAATATAATGAAAATCACAAAACGTAATATTAGTAAATACATAGTAAGTACTCGGTATTAGAGTTCATTATATAATTTGACTCGTTTATGCAACTTCACTAAATTAATCTTACAAGTTTTCATATGATTTAAAGAAAAATCAGTATTGAAAATGTTGCATAATAACTTCATTGTCAATTGTCTCATAGTTTCTCTTTCGATGCTACATATTAAGCACTTTATAAAAAATCATCACTCATTTTATTGTAAAGATATGTTTTGATGATTTATCACGCAAAATGAGCTACCGTTCTAATTGAACTTGTACGATTCTAGCACTATTCTTTAGTATATATATAAATATATACGATACATTTAAAAATCACTTTAGTTTTCATAATAGTTCTTATCAAATGATTAATTTTGTATAATTTCTTATGAACAGGTGCAATGTTAAAATCACTTTAGTTTTGTATAGCTCATACATAACTTATTGACTAATAGGTGATATAAAGTACACACTTTTGTACATTGCATGTGTACACAAGCATTTGGGAGACAAATGATGTCTTCTTCTTAACGAACTGTCTGTGTACACATGCAAAACAAGAGGGTAGGTACAAAAGTGATTACAAAAGTGGGTATTAACAAATTTTTTTATTAATAAAGGTGCTTGAGAATTGTAGTTGAGAATCTTGTGACATTATTTGTGTGCCTTGATGGGTTGGAGAAAACCGTCTCACCTATAGCAACACTAGCTCTTAGAATTCTATAACGAAGCTAAGACTGAGCATTGCAAAAAGGTCTAGCGGCACATCGGTAGGTTAAGCCAACGCTTTTACTAATGCACTAAAAGTACTAGCAACACTTTTTAGCGTCACGATGTCGCCGTAGGTAAGTATAAAGCGCCTTGATAGTCCTTTTCTACTAGTGCCACAAGCACACTTGTCGGCGAATGGGCTATTGTTTGTCTGCTAATAACCCGTTCACATACAAAATACTACCTCCGTGTTTAAATAAATGCAACGTGTTGAATATTACACTATTCACATGTTCTACTTTGACTATATTTTATTAGTTAATGTATTAATATAATTTTTTGAAAAATATTGTTAAATTTATCTCATTATAAATTTTCAAAATCTGATTTTTTTTTTCTAATAGAGAATTATATATATTAATGGTCAAAATTGTGCCTTGACAAATGTGAAAAGTTGAATGTTTCATTTATTTAAGAACGGATGAAGTATGTTCATGAATGTCGATGAACATGCTCTGCTGTCAACAGGTCGCTCACAGAAAAAATACTCCTCCCGTCCCATTTAAAGGTTCTCGTCCCCTATTCTCCGATCAACGTGAGATGTTCTTAATCGTTCACTTTATATATGAGATTCCTTTATATATCCAACTTTTATCAAATTTTATTTTTCTTGATCAGGTATTATAAAACTTTTAATGTAATTTCTGAATATGTAAATTTTATGTATTAAAAATAATCTTATTAATGACAGAGATCAGTTAACTTTATGGTCAGTTAAACATCGTGAGCTACGTGGGAACCTTTAAGTAGGACAGAGGGAGTAGCTGGACTCGGGCCGGTTCGGGCCCGGTTCGGGCCCGGTTCGGGCCTGGGCCCGGCCGGGCCTCGGGCCAGGAAATGGGAGGCCCGGGCCCGAACCGCCGGTGGCCGGTTCCGGTCCCGGTTCCGGGCCAAACCGGGCCGGGCCGGGCCGAACCGGCCCACTTAATTTTTTTTTTTGTTCTCCTATTTGATCCCCTACCCCTCCCCCTCAACCCCAAACCACCCCAAACCACCTCAAATGGCCCAAAATACCTATTCCAACCCAAAACTTTAAAAAAAATTCAAAAAAAAAAAAATAAAATCCGGCCCGGACCGGGCCCGAACCGGCCGGGCCGGTTCACCATTTGGAAGGCCCGGAACCGGGAACCACCGGGCCGGTTCGACCCGAACCGCCGGTGGACCGGGCCACCGGGCCGGGCCGGTTGCTACAGTGGCCGGGCCGGGCCGGTTCCGGGTCGGGCCGCCCGGCCCGAGTCCAGCCCTAGAGTAGCATATTCACCGACAAATAAAATGATCAATGATATAAAAAGTGTGTAGAAGAAGAATGGTTGATTCAATTTCTAGTTGTTGTATTTTATCGTTACTATCAAGAACTTCGGCTGGACAATTTTTTTTTGTTTAAACTTCAAACGGAGTAGATCACATGCATCTTTACTCTAATAGTGTGATTTTATCATAATTTATTTCATATTCTACGTCCATGTCAATTTGTCAAGTCCCGTCAATTTGTATTACCAATGAATTTAATCTAGTCTTGTTTACGATTGACCTAAATGCATACAATTTTATGGACTTGATAATGTGGTTGGAGTAGGAGTGTATGGCCATCTCTCTTTCAATCTATAATTGCCTTACCAATTTCGTCATCCAAACGGTTTCACACCAACCATTTATGAGTGGTGATTCTAGGATTGGGTCTTAAAAATTGAAAACACAATAAAAATAAATGGAGTTGCAACTTAACTAAATTCAATCGTAAAGGGAAATCCACCAACTTAACTAGGATTGGGGGGAAAGAAAGAATCACCAAGATCCTACAAAACAAAGAACATATAAATACAGAAAGGTTACCAAAAGATTGGTTGAAAAGGGAATTCCACCATCTGGTCAAAAGGGGACTAACTGATGTTAGGGCTAGATTTAAACCAACTGGAAATGCCACACTCAAACCAAATGCCTAGTGACACTGAGAAGAACCAGAAGAACACATCAACTAGAATAAGGCCAAGCAAAGATGACAGTGGGGGAGGAGGAGGTATTACGTCCATATTTCATCTTTAATGAAATTACTCACATAGAATATTAGAGGCCTCAATAGAGCCTCAAAAGTAGAAACTATTGTTTCCTATGTAAAGAAATAGTTCTTTTTTCAGCAATTCTTGTAAATTTTGGTTTCTTTGAGAAGCTTGTTCTCCTGATCGTGTTAAAACTTGAATCCGTTCATCTATTATTTTGTCAATGGTCATTAAGAAAAGTATATGAGAAGTTGCTATCATGATTATAGCATTCATTGTACGGCAAATTTCAAATTTTAGAAGTGAACATGAGTCATTTATAGCTTTTATAAAAATCATTAAGAAGTTCCTCGTTGAAATCAATTTCATACTCTTATGATTAGTTAAACCATACTACAAACCATAAACAGTTCCCATTAAACTGTAGGCATTGATCCTTTGAAGTTGTGCAAAGTGTATACTTTTACGAATTGAGCATAGCATTGGTTAATGCTAAGTTGAAACAAAGTAAATTGAGTTTTATTTAAGATTTTTTGAACCAAATTTAAATGTGGAGAATGGAGACTTTTAGAGGCGTGTCACGTGTGAATACTGATTGTTTGATCTGGGCAGAATTTTGAGGTTATTTTGTGGAGGTTAGAGAACAAGAGACTATTATGGAAAAAAGAGCATTTTAAGGATAGAATCAATTGTTATAAAGGGTCCAATAGTCCTACCCTAATATGAAAGCTTTGAAAATAAATCATTTTGGTAAATATTAATTAATTAATACAAATGAATAACAATGAACAAAAGTTGATTTAAGTTGATTTAGTAGTATAAATAATGAATTTGAGACAACTAACTTTTGTGGATAGCAGGTTCTCGTTGAACGTGTAAACAAATTGGAATCTACTATGGCCAACATCATTCAATAAATGGATAGCTTAAAGGAGAGCTTTCTTAATCAAAAAAATAAAATAAAGCCCATGGCATACACCACCTCAAATCCTACCATTGACTGCTTTGCAACACGACACACCACCTAAATTTCATCGTGGAGAATCAAGCAAAAGAGTGGAAAGGAAAATGTTTTCTAAAACCTCAGGGAAAAATGTCTGTGATGTGATATTAATACAATAGAGCAAAAGGTTTTCAACAACACGTTACTACATCAACTCCCAAGTCAACGCAAAGATGACTTCAACGTTCATGGGAACCAATATACCACAGGTCCACAAGTATGTATAATAACATGCACTTTTATAGCTTTATTTTACAAATGCATTATGTGATCTCATCTAGTTATGCATCATTTTGTAGTTTTTATCGAGAATGTTCAAACTAAAACAAAGTACATTCTTGACTGATAAAGAGATGGCAGTGGTAACAAATATATTTTTCAAAATAGATGTCAGGTAATAAAATATTTACTGTTTTTAATATTTTTTTTCTTTTATATTTTTCCATCACATAACAAAATATATTGTAATAGTGGTGTGTCCCTGCTTTCAGCTTAGAGACATTGGTCAAAACTTATATGGATATTTGCGACAGGAAGTAAAAATTTACTTCTAAATTTAATTGCTAGCAGAATGATCAACCAAGATGTAAGTCTCTAACCCTTTTGGTTAAAGTGTCTTTAGACTTGAATCAATATTTTTTAAATTCCAAGTCAATTCGTTATAATGTCAGTTACACATTAATTACACATTAATTACAATGTACAATAGAACATTAAACAATAAGAGTACTCGTAAAAAGCTAGGGGTTGAATATTTGTTTAATTTCAAGTTGGAGAAATAGCTTTTTGTTTTTGTTACAGTTTTGAGATTCGATTGTTTTATAGAAACTTAATTGGTAGACTTGATGGTCCCAGATAGGGTAAAAGTCTAGAGGGGGGGTGAATAGACTTTTAAATCTTTTTCAACTTTATGATGTTTTCCCTCTAGAAAAGTTGATCTATAATCTTTTGAGAGATTAATAGATGCACAGCGGAAGTCTTTACCCTTTATGTGATGAGTGTTTGACCACTTTCTAATTTGGGAAGATTGGACTTTGAACAGTGAGCAGTTGGCTTGGCAGTTGCCTGGATGGCAGGAAACTGCTGAGGCAACTGCTAGTGGAA